AACCAAGCCCAGATGAGTGTTACAAAATTAAATATTAGGAAATAAATATAAGGAACTTAAATGAAGGGAATGCTTCACAGTTTGAACTGGAAAAAAAAGGCAGATGAAAAACTGTAAGGTTAAGTGCAAAAAAGGCATCTAAAATAATTTCAAAGGGGATGTTTTAAAATTGCCATGACAGAAGCCTTTCAACTGTGTGCTGAAGAAACAGCAAAGTTACTAATGATGCTCCTGATACTTCTGCTCCTGCAGTCTAGTGTTCTGCCTTCAACTTCAAAGGGAATAATGCTCACTCCTTCTGTTGGCAATATAAAGTTCTCTTCAAGCTCAGTCTACAAAACAACAGGTAGCTATGCTCTTTCATGTGTACCAGAAGATATGCAAAGGAATACTTCCCACTGAGATGAACTCAGCTCAAAGTCCTGTGCCCAGGCCGTGGAAGGCTCTTTTCTGGATCTCTGTGCAGCTGCTGTTACAAAGCAGCTCATTAGAGCACGCTGGTGTGCTCCCAGCAAGGCAGCTCCTTAGCTGATGTGAGTGGCTGAATCCCCCTGGCATCACTGGAGATTCATCCATTTATCCCAGCACAGGAGTTGAGCTAACAAATTCATTCCTCTCCAAGGTGGGTCTAGTGTCGCCATCATATTTTCTGAAAAATCTCTTTGCCCAGGGTTTCTTCCCTGGGAAGCTGAGAAGCCTCAGAGAAAAAGGAAACAATAATTATCTGATTTGCTTCTCCTGTGTTTTGCTGCTTTGGAATGTGGTTGGAGATGGTTTATCCAACATGTGAATTGTTTTGAAATAATGACCAATCACGGTCAGGCTGTGTTGGAAGTCTGGAAGGAGCCACGAGTTTTCATTATTATCTTTTAGCCTTTTGTCTCTATCCTTTCTGTATTCTTTAGTATAGCTTAGTATAGTATTCTTTTATATAATATAGTATCATAAAATAATAAATTAGTCTTCTAAGAACATGGAGTCAGATTCATCATTCCTCCCTTTGACAGGGGTCTCAGACAATACCACAGGTCTAAGGTGTCTGGTTGAATCAAATCTGCACCAACCTTAAGCTCCCTCATCATAGCACTCATGGAGGTGAAAATATTAATGCATTTCCCAGCTATTTGGTACATAGAGTCTGAGGGCTGGGAAACAGCAAGAGTGGCAGTGTAATGTAGGTATCAACATCAGGCCTGAACTCAAAGCTGGCTCAGGGGTGCTGAGTCTGTGCCTGCCTTCAACTGCTTGGTGACCCCCGGGTTGTGGCGGCCTCTGTGAGAGCATTTGGCCACCAGGTAATGGTGCTGCATGCCTATTTTGTACTTGAAAGACCATATTTATGCAATCAATGGAGATGAAGTAAGGAGTGAAATTTGTGAAAAAATTTTTTGCCAAATTTCTGTTATTCCACGAGCAAAATTACTGTAAAATTACAGTATTTTTGGAAAATTGTCTCCCACTCAAAAAACCTCTGAATATTTTTTCTTTGCAGTTCTGTGAGAGATGTTTTCATGGAAACTTTCAAAGCAGATAGTCACGTTTTCTGGCTGTATTTTTATTCCACATTGGCAATTATTGATCACATGGTCTAGCCTACAATTCTCTGATTCTCTTGCATTAAGGACAGAAGGTGGAAACCATGCTGACTTTGTTTTCCATGAGAGTATTTTATATTGTGAATCTTTCTGCTGGATAAATAGGTGGTAATTAACCCATCCATCTTTAATAGTTGAAGCAAAAGTGGGACATGACTGCTGTGATTCACAATTAACTGTAAATTTCCTTTCCATTATCAAGCACACCATGCTAGGTGAGGATTTGATGTGTCAAATTTATAACATATACCTTTCTTTGGTCTAGAGACACCTGCATTTTCCCATCTACATGCATGTGTTCTGCCCATTCCCATATTTTTAGCACCCACCTTGCCCTGATCTGGCAAAGCTGCCTCCCCCTGAGAGTGCTTTCAGTGCCCTCTTTCTTCTTTGTCTGCCAGGTTCCTTGCACTGAGTACCATGAGTAACTTTTCACTGAGTACCAAGGGTAACTTATCACTGAGCATGAGTGAGCACCTCTCATGACACGCAGAGGAGTAATTGCAGCACCAGGATTTGTTGCAGTGCCAAGAGAGGAGAGAAAAATCTTCATTTTCAGACAGTTATAGATATCAAAGGATGCACAGACAGGTGCAGAGGAAGCAGATGTAACATCAGATGCCTACCTTTCTGTGAAAATGTCCCAGAAATGCCAAAAACTGTAGGGTGTAGGCACACATTGCAAAGAAACCCTTGGTTACATATGACTATGAATAACAAACTGCTTGGGACTATGGTTCCTGTTGAGTTCAGAGGCTGGAAAGTGCAGCTTCTTTGCTAAATTGCTGCTAGAGAAGATCTTTCAGGTCTCCAGCAGGGGTTCCATGCAAAGCAAGAGGCATTTCAGCTTGATCTTGTGTGACAACATGGCTGTGGCAGCTGAGAGATGCAGGTATGAACTGCTTCCCTGGGATGCTCCAGTCTTTCACATCTCTGCTAGAAACAGTGATCCACTGTATATTTGTTTATGGCTCTGAGCATATTGAACACAAACCACTGTGTACACATACTAAAACACACAGGAATGAACCTGGACGCCTTGGCACATTATTGGTGCATGCTGACAGTGGGAAGTTTGGAGACCTTTTTCTCTTTTTCTTCAGATATAATAAAGGTTGAATACAACCTCCATCAGCTGGGAATGAAAAAGGTCTACAACAGCAGAACTAATAGCCCAGGACACTCAGGTGGGAGATAGGAAACCTATATCCAAACTTGTGGTCAGGCAGAATAGGGGTCCTACATATTCACTGATGGTTTAGACTATCAGGTTACTGCTGAGCATCTCCTATTTCCAAAGAGAAATTTTCCTGTTCCTTATGGTAATGCCAAGACACACCCACACCCACATAAGAATGCAACATGCACATACACACAGATCTGATGGCATTAAAGATGACATAAAATGTGGAAGAAAAGCATTTGGCGTCTGTCAATCACTCAGCATCCTTCATTCGAACAGTAACATCAGATTTCGTAAAAAGCAGGCTGTTGACTATGCAGAATGGAGGCTATAGGATCTTCCTTGTCCTAAATCCATGCCAGCAAGGAAGAGTTTGCTCACAGTCATAGAACAATGAATACACAGGATGATGAAACTAAAGGTGGTACTTCTTTTCATGCTCTTGGTCTTCAGAATCCAAATGCATGGTTTACATACTAAAAAAATCCTTTCACATCCAACTGATGTGACTAATTTCCTATCATACTTAATATTTTATTGTACACTAGATTTTCTTGGAATAGATGTATATTTAATCCCCTCTTTTGCAGAGCTTGAATTTTTACTTTCCTCCCTTTTCATCCTTGCAAGAATGTCATTGACTGTTTCTGACTTCTCTCCATCCCACTTCATAGATAAAAGGACCAATTTTTGGAGAGAGTGTTCTGCCTAGGAAATATTTTTTTGTGTCAATAAATTACTTGTTCCTTCTCAAAGAACATTTCTATATCTCTTACTGACCTCTTGCTCCTGGTATGCTTGAAACATTTATTGGTTTTTTCACCATTCCCCCACTCTGTGATCTCTAGGATTTTCCACTTGATTTCTCATGTGCTTTCTTCATTTTACTCTTACCATCTTTGTAGTCTGTGGCCAGACATTTCTGCTGTTGTGGCCAGCAGATGAGGTCACCAGCTACATGTCTGTGTTTGGCAGAATTGTTATCTGTGTCTCTATTTTTGCTATAGTAATATCAGTCAGAGACCAGAGCTCCAAAGCATTGTCATAACTTCATCTCCAGTCCTTGCCCTGAACAGGGGAGGGGATGAATAGGCAAAGGGTGGCACCTTATGCACAATATTTAACTTTGCTTTTCTTTTCTTTACTGGAGTGACAGCCTAAGCATGAAGGATAGTCAGATAAATATTTATCAACTTGATTCTTATCTGAAACAAAACATATGCTTATGTATTCATTAACAGGAGCACAGTAATATAAATAGCATGATGGCACACACATACTAGACATCCAGCTCAGGAAGTGCTTGATTTCATGTATTTATGGGAAAATACTATTGGATTTTTTGGCAAATATGGCATATCTTAAATCCTAACAGTACTTTTATGTAAAGCTGCAAAACTAGAAACTCTGTGTTAGCCACTCTGAAGGACAGTCAGTACAAATATTCACACAAGGAGGAAGCTTCAGGAAGAAGAAAATGCATGTAACTACATCAGATATTTGAAATGAGAAGTCTGACATTTTCTCACTTGGCCTACAGTAAAGAGAATCTAATAGTAATTTTGCAGAAGTGCCTCAAATCACAAAGTATTTTTGTTGCTGATAGTTTCAGTAGTATTATATTTGTTGTAAGCAATTCATTAGCACTGCCTTTTCTTATCTGATCATAAATTTTCTGACAATGAAATAGCTGAATGTTACTTTTGCAAAAGGAAAAAAAGAAGAGAATTGATCAAAGTTTATCAAAGTGTTAAGGTAAAGAGATACAAAAAAGCTCTGGTTTAATACCAGGAAATGACATACATTTTGCTTGTTTTAGTGTTCCTCTCTGGAATGCTTCGACATTGCTTTGGCATAACAGCCAAACATTGCCAAAGCCAACAAGACTGGCAAGAACAATGTCCATATTTAGGGGACTTTGTGGAAAATACAGGAAGGTTTGAAAACCCTGATAAAACCCAGAGGCCAGCACCCACTCCTTAGTTTTTCTGCCAGGATCCTGGGAGACTCCATTCATTCCAGTGATATTTTTCAAGTCCAGAGGAGACAACAAAGCCAAGTTCACCCTCTAAGAGACTCAGCCCTGTGTGTGCTGCTGCTGTTGTCTGGCAGAACACGTTCACCAGCAGGTTTTTCACACTGAAAAAATCCCACTGTGTTTCCTATTCCCTACACTGCAGTCTTAGTTAGAGAACAGCAGGATTGCACAGCCACCCACTTACCCTGCTCCTCTGCGTCCTGGGAAGTCAAGGTGCCCTGTACCATTTGAAAGGTAACTGGAACCTGACCTGAGGGAAAATGGTAAAAAATTGAGTTTAACCACTATGTGAAATCATGCAAAAATTATAAAAAATACTACTTGTCTGCCTATAATTTTAATGAAATACAAAATGCTGCAATATTTTCACATACTGGAAAATTATTTTCATTTTTTGCAGGTGTTTTTGCTTCAAAAGGGTAAAATACTGTTATTCATGAATTGTGATATAGAAAAAATGTTCTGGGGGATTTTGATTGAGTGATATGCTTGAAGACAGAGGTATGATGAATAATGTTTATAAACAATAGTGTGCTAGGATAAAAATTGCATAAAGAAAACAATAGGTGTTAAACTCCGAGAGGTCACGTGAAGGGTCATAGCTCTTTACAGCTGAGAGCATTTAGGATTTAGAGAGACAGGATATGGATAATAATTTAAAAACACTGCTTATCCTATAAGCATCTCAAAAAACCCCAAACGAGCAGCCTGACTAGCTTAATCTCACCTTCTTTTTCTATAACATCTGAACAAGTTTGTCACTAAAAGTAGTGAGCATTTCTCTGTGGTTTTCTGGTGTATGTTCAACTGAAGGTTTAAAGACCTGTAGCAAGAAGTTATCTGCTCTATATTATAGCAAGGGGGAATAAGAGAAGGAAATTTATCTTGTACAAGAGAAAGGGGAATGGATAACTATATCCCGTTTTTCTAAGGAAACAAGACTTATCCTCCTATGCTGCCTGTGCTCTTTTGTGTCTGTGACCTGGGCATATAACTTTAGAATGTGTTGATTACTTTTAACTTAATGGCAGAGAGGTAGAATTATCAAATATATTGAATTCCAACTATTGCCAGAGACAGAGCATTTGAACTTCCAGTGAGTTATCCCACCATTAATAGACACCAGGAATACAAATCTGTCAGGGGGAGTATGGATGAAAGTTAGAGGCAACCACTCAGTGCAAGCAAGTTCTTTTGGTCCCAGTACTTCTGTAGTGTGACAATTCTTTTCTTAACTTGAAGCAAAAAGATGGCTCAGTCTCAGAATGAAATCCAAAATGGACACAAGCTCACTGGTTAGTGAGCAAACCACCAAGAAGTTTGGAGGCTTATAATTTCCACTAGTACTAGTTGGGTTGGTCTTTTAGGACAATCCATTGTGCTTCCAGGAAATTCTTGGGATGATGATGAGGAAATAGAGAAAGTGAATAGGTCTACAACCAGGCTGAAAGAGGAAGGTGAAAAACAGGATCATGGAAATAGTGGAAATAGCATGAAAGTGTGACATATAGCTGTTTCACTGAGACACACCTGAAGGGAATAAAACAAAGATGATCATACCTAAAGGAGCACCTGTCTGCAGAATAAAATGGATAGCAGTGAAATTTAGGAACTTCCGTTACTCTGCCACACTATATTAAAAAGTTTTTATGCCTACTCTATGTTTTCTTATGAAGAAAGTACTAAAATTGATCCTGAAATGCAGCAGCAAAGATCTTTAAAATTGACAGGTTTTAAATGTGAAATAGCACATCATTTGGGGTTGTTCTAGTAGCTCTCAGATAGGGACCTTCCTGGGCAAAGTTCCTTTCCTCCTCTACACTGATGAGGATTATGTTCTGACAGGTTCTGAATTCAGAGGAGCAAGGGGAGGAGTACCTGACCAGAAAACTTCCACCATCCAAATGGAGCAGCATGGAAGGAAAATTAGGTGGTGACCATTAGAAGAGGAGAAATAGCTCTAGTGCTGGCAGAAAAAGACCTCCCAACTACAGCTCCGTTGATAGGTGCCACTCCTCCGTGGCAGATCACTGAATTTTCAAAGTTTGTCCCAGGCAGACAATAAGAAGAAGACATCCAGCACAGAGGCTGGTGTACCTGGGTACACATAGGAGTTCCAGACAGCAGTACTTCTCTGAAGGATAAGGATAAATTTTCTATGACAATTGTAGGAGAAGCAAATGACAACAGAGCTGAACTATAAATCTTATCAAAGTTACTATCAAAAAAGTGGACAAGATTGATTCGTTTTTGTAAATCAAAGTTGAACTTCACTGCTTTCTTACCCTCAAGAGCTCATTTGTTGCTATGGAGAGCTTCTACACAAATATGACATTGTATGTACAAGTAAGCACCTATCTGACAAAAAAATCTGGGGAAACACAAACAGATTTCACAGGAGGTCAGAAAGAATTGCTAATTTAGGTGAATAATGACAGTTATAAATATGTAGTGCAGCTTTAAAAAAATACAGGGCATGATTTATTAAAATGTGACTGTTGCAGATAATAGATTTGGTTTGCAAGGTAAGGCTGCCATTCATATAACTTTGTATCATTTATCACAACTGCAATAAAACAATGTACAACACAAATAGTGTTTTAAAAAAGAAATGCATCAGCTTTAGCTAAAGTATTAATTACTATTTTATGCCTAGCACCAGAACAATCTGATTATCCATTTTTCAAGACTCAAAGACATGTTTTTAATAAATCATCAAAAAAGCTCTCTCTTAGTTTAGAGAAATAACCCTCTAAGCAGGGAATTATCCAGTGTGTTTCTTCATTTTCCATTACCACAGTGCTCTTTCTGATTTCTATCATGATTAATGTGAGCCAAGATTATTGTTAGCATGAAGTGTTTTCAGCTCTTCCTGGAAGGCAAGTGTGTGGAATATTGTATTTCCATCACCTTATTGTAAAAACTGCAGATAATTCAGGTCTGGAGCCTCAACAGAACAATTACATTTGCAAGAAAAGAATTGCATAAGGTTTTACAAATAAATTGAGTAATAACTGCATGAGAGCTCTTTGTGGAATGTTAATCATTTTCATAGTCATTAATATGATAGATCGATGAAGGGTAAAGGTTTCCTACACAACTTACATTAGTTACTTATGAGTGAGGAACAGTTTAATTTAAAAAGTCTCAGAATATCTCTTTTTAACTAGTAGAATGTAGCAATCCCCTCAATTTTCTGATCATCTGCAGATAGCACATACAGAAATGCAGAGACAAGACTGCATGGAGAGCATATAGATCAGATGTAATCTTTCCACTCAAAATCAAATCATCAAATCATCATTTCTTGCCCTTTAATTTGTTACCAGAAACAACCTGAACAACTCTGCAAAGAATATATTCCTCCAACAGTCAGTCTGCTTGGTAATATTGTAACCAAAATATTGCCTAAACTGGAACTGAGTGACTGACATTTTTTTCATGGTGGGTGTATTCTGCCTATTTTCAAATACTCCTTTGCATATTCTCCGTTTTGTTTTGGAGTTTGAATTCAGTAAATATGATTTCCTGAGCATGGCCTAAGGTCATTATGAGTTTTGGTGAGATGGTCCTGTGTTTTCTAGGCATTTGCTCACACAAGGAGCTGCTGCTGAATCACAGCTTCCCCATTTACATTGCCAAGCAGCCTTTTGCAGACACACACTCTCAGGGTCTCACCTACTGCATCTGGTGAAACAAGTGATGACCAAGGATAGTGGTGGCAATGGGTGACTGTAAGAATAACTGCTCTTGTTGGAAAAAAAATATTTTTAGCCTGATGTTTCAATAGTGGCCAGGAATGGATGCCTAGAAAGAACATAGGCGTATAAGCTGATTCTTCTCCAAGCACCAGGACCCTAAGGTCATGACATTTGCAGAGAACATAAAGTATTTTTAATTAGTTTCCAAAGACTGGAAACAGATTTGAAGAATTTTAGAAGGGCCTTGGGAAGGGGGGAGATGAGGGAATGACAAATGACACGCTGCTGTTCTCAAATGTCAGGTGAGGGGCACTGGAGGTGACCGCTTGACACCCGAGCCACTGGGACTGGCTGCTGGGTTACACACTTGGTATAATTACATGAGTGAGAGACATGGACATCAATTTGGAAAATCTAGTAAATCTCAAAAGGTTTATCCTATCAAAAAGGAATGCCAAATGGCAGGATGTGAATAAATAGGATAACAAAGCCAAGAATGTAGGGAAGTTTATTTCATTTCAGTGAATAATATGAATCAGATCTAGTGAATAAGAATTAATAAAATAATTTGACTTATATCTAAATCTATCCATTCCTCATACTTGTTTGTTTCAAGTATTTTTCACAGTAGTAACACAAAATTGGACCTTATTCTTTAATGAAATCCAGTAAAGTCACAATGGTTCCAATGTGCACAACCTGATCCTGGCAGCCCAATAGTAGAGGAGATGGTAGTAATCAGAAAAAATGTAATGAAGTTCTATAGCACTTTAAAATAGTTCAGATACTGTATATTTTCAAAACTAAAAGAAAAAAGTGATTAATGAAATTAGTTGGAAGTGAAGTGGGATTTTTTCAATACACCTGTCAAAATAATATAATAGTCTGAGTACTGCCAAATATTACTATAAAATAAATATAATAAAGTGACAAAAAATTAATAAAAGTGACAAAATTAATATAAAATAAATATATAAAGTGACAATGAATGACCTGACTTGTTCTCTACTCCATGGCAGCTTTCCCCAAAACTGATTTACACTTGGAGTGTATCTTGCCCCACAAGAGCAGCTGCAGTAATATGCCAAAAGTTATTTTCAATGAACTCAGGTAATTTCCTAATAAATACTCATATTTGTGGTAATGACAATATAACTGCTAATTATTTATTTATTTGAAATTTTACTTTCTTATGTTCCTTCTTTCTAGGACTGGGGAGAAGCAGAGAAGACATTTTGAGCTACAGTATGGAAACAGTAGGCAAAATATATCACATACTGAAATCTTGGAATCAAACATAATGAGGATTGCATATTCAGGCTGCTCTGCACTCTAGATCCGTGTCAGATCTGTCTTACACTGCTGCTTAACTTTTGCCAATCCAATACATATCATTGCTGGAAAATGTTTATTTATGTAGTGCTGAAAGCACTTCCAATTACTTGAGCAGTGTTATCCATCATTGTGACTGCTTGCTTGAAACTTCTGACATTTACATGAGTATCTTTGGGGGAGGGACTTTGTCGTTGTTTTTAGAAATATTTTCTCT